GCACCGCTGTGCGCTCGCGGGCCTCACCCCGACGCTGTTCCCCGCTCTCAAGGAGGAGCCGCAGACGGTGCCCGAGCTCCTGAGCAGCGACGGCTCCCCCCCGATGTCCCCCATCGACCTGGAGACGCAGGAGCGCATCAAGGCGGAGCGCAAGAGGCTGAGGAACCGCCTGGCGGCCACTAAATGCCGGCGACGCAAACTGGAGCGCATCGCCAGGCTGGAGGAGAAGGTGAAAGTTTTGAAGACCGACAACGCGGGTCTGTCCAACACCGCGTCGGTGCTGCGGGACCAGGTGGCCCAGCTCAAACAGAAGGTCCTGACGCACGTGAACAGCGGCTGTCAGCTGATGCTCACCAGCAAACTGGAGACGTTCTGAGGAGCACACACTCGAACATGACTGAGAAAAGTACAAACACTGGAGTCACGGCCCCCGGGACGGAGGCCGAGATGTTGACAGCGCCACCTGGGCCACGGCAACAGACCAGTGGGCTCCTGGAGGGTGAAATTGAACTGTTTGAAATGGTACTTCCGGATGCTGGACACCGCAGAGGACACCATTCCACCCCAGAGCCCCAGACTGAACAGACAGTGGGCAACACAGTGGGCACCGGCCCAGAGTCGGGTGTTCTGTTGGTAGACAGATGTTGTTGTTGTCCTGCAAAACTGCATTTAATCCATGTGTAAATTATTGGGTTTGTCCGGTTGATCCAGACAAACTCCACATGTCCAATGTTTACAATGTTCTTTTTTATTTGTCCTGTGTATTTAAGTAAAGAGTCAATGAGACAGACACGTGACCCGGAGTGTTCTTCACACACACACACAATCATGATGACGTAGCTTAAACAGAAATCCAATCATCATACAAGTCGACAGATCATATATTTATACATGTATTTTCCCGTTTCTCTGATGGTTCCTCGGAGAACCTCCTCCAGGGGGCGACTCTACTCTAGTGTTTTTACCCACAGTGCGTCGCCTTTCCAAATTACGCAGGGCTCAGCCATATATGGGCATGTCGTCACAGGGCAGGATTTCTGGGAACCCCCCAACACAGGCTGCTTTCACTTCAGGCTCTCACTCTGTCGTATCGGTCGGGGTCGTAGGTTTCACCGCGGCTCACGTTGGAATATTTTTGTTTTTTACTTTTCGTGCGATAATACAAATAAATATAAAGAAGCCGGTTATATTTGAGGGGAAACACAGGGGAATAGTAACGTAAATATATATATATATGGCGGGAGATCTGATTAAAAACACACCATCGAACCAGGACCACCGCGTCACAACCATTAAAGAGCTCAAAGTTATGGCTCTAATAAAAAACAAGCGGCTCCGCGGGAAGTGACAGTGGCTTCAGGAATGTCGGGGGCGTCTGAAGATGCCACCCCGGCTTGGCAGAGCACGAGGCGTGGGCGGGCGGGCGGCAGCATCTGTGTGGACGAGTGTGGATGAATGGAGATGTTGGCGCTGCCAGGGACAACATTCTGCAGCGACGCATCACTGCCCAAATATGTGCGGCGCAAGGGTTGTGAAAAGGCGCATGTCGACGGGGAAAGTCCCGCTGTGAACGGCGTGGATGAGTCACTGGCTATTTTTCAGGAGCCTCAGACACAGAGCAGAGAAAAACACTGATAATGAGGTCAACATGTGAAAGAAGAGAAGAACAACACTTGTCAATGAAGTGGAATTATGGGTAATGTCTGATACGAGTTAAAGTAGAGCTGAAAGAGTCACGTGGCCTCCGAACTACAGACAGAGATGTTGACATTATTTAAACCTGGGAAATCCTGAGGTAAAAACACACACACACACACACCTCTGACGTCGAGGTAAACAAGAGTGAAAGAAAACAGCCAGGTCTCAGTCAAACCACTTCACAGCAGCAGCAGCAGCAGCAGCAGTAACAGCAGCAGCAGCAGCAGCTGAATGAAGCTGCGGTCGGAGCACACTCTCACCGCGAGCTGTTTTGGAGACACGACTTTTTTTACGCCTCTGGTTCGTATGTCAACAGAGCAGTTTCCATCAGTCGTACGTTATTTGCCATGTATGAACGTGGAAACTGCCGTGGGCGAACCCACGCCACGGCTCCCCTGCACTGAGTTTATGAAGAAACCTGAGTTCAGGGGATGTACACGTGTGAACTCGGCTGTATTCAACAGTTCCAGTTCCACCGCAGGTCTGTAGACTGATCAGTACTGATGACACCCACGGCCCACACGTCCACTCGGGTCCCCGTGGCTACACTTGGGTCACGTTGGTCAATAAATAAATAAATAAATAACCATGGCTCGGTGCTCGATGGTATGGGGCACACATGGTACCAGCTGCCCTCTGCCCTCTAGATCACACCTGTGGGACACATCAAACACGCAGACCCCCCCACCCCCACGTGCTAACGTAGCTGTGATGAGTGACGTGTGAAGCAGTCTGCACTCTCAGCCCAGTCCATGCCAGACTGGCTCCTACGCCTCGGCCCACGACCCACACGGAGAGTCTGTGGGAACATCTGTGATGACAACAGTGACGTACGAGGAGCTCTGGTGGGTTTCATTTTCCTCTCCACGAGCCCCCAGTCCACTCCCACAGACACGTGCACAGAGGCCTGGACTGTCACTCACCCTCTCCGGTGTCCGTGATTCTCCCTCCCGCTGGTTCCACCTGAGCTTCACATGCTGCAGTGGGAGGCTCTCTCCTGTAAGAATAATCATCTAAACAACATTTAATTTAAAAAACAAAAGTTATATAAATGTTGTATAACGTTGTTGATGCGCAGAGGTGAAAGGTCAACCGCCCACGCTGCGTCTCCAACGGTTCTAATGACGACGGTACCGTTTTCTCACACGCGAGACTTGACAATAGAAGTGATTCAGCGACCAGTGCAGTTACATATTCACCAGCTGCTCCGTCACTGAGCCGCCAGCTGTACCGTCAGTCACAGTGACGTGACGACGGTGTTGACGCCGTGTTCACGCTGAAGCCGTTCAAACAATCACGTTCACATGAACTGACCACAACTTCATCGAAGAACTGAAGTGACCAGGCACCGCGGTGACGTCGAAGGACGTTAGACGGTACACATTGCCACCTAGTGGAGAAAGCCGAATACAACAGCATAGTAGACCATAATAGTTGTCTTCGTTTCCTTTTGTGTAAGGTTTATTTTTTATCCAATGATCTGTGGCAGCGAGTGTCCACGTGATCAGAGGATGGTGGGTCGTTTATAGTTCTTTTTATAAATGAATGTAATATAGGCGACAGTTCTAGGATCTAGGATCGTCTGCTGAGGATTTCTTTGTCTAGTTGCATCACGTACTTAAAATCTATTGTTTGACTGACGACGACCTTTTTGAAATCCTTTTCCGAGCAGGTGATTTGCTTCTGTCTCTCCACCAACACATTCCAACATTTAAACATTTTTATTTGCACTCACACAAACTCCACTGCACACCTAGTGTAAGACGCCATCTTGGATTCTTTACTGGCAGGTGAATTGATTGGCAGCCAATCGTCGGGTAACCAGAAGTCTCCAGAAACACTTCCTGTTCTCCATTACTTCACTCTATTAAAATAAATAGAACCGACAGTAGAACCGGGTTTGAGACCGAATGTCTGACTAATAATATTACGATAGTGTTTTTAAATAACGTTTTTTTATACTGGAATCAGAACCACACGCAATGCTACCGGGGTACGGCAGGGGGCGCCAAAGACACGTCGTGACGTCACAACAGGAAACTAAACATGGCCGACAGTGATTGATAAATGGCGAAAGTTAGCCACAAATTTCGATAAAGTCTTCGCGCCTTGATGAGTTTTTTTGTGGGTATGACTATCTCTTAATGTGTCGTTATTTTTTTTTATTAATTTGCAAACGGGGTAATTCTGACAACAAAGAGGAGTTAATTGTTAGCTCCAACGTAGAGGCCTAACAACCGGGACGCTAGGTAGCTAGCAGTTTTAGCCACCGTCGTTGCCTTTGTTTTTGTTTGGTAAATACGCAGAAAAGCCGGTGTCGTGAAACGTGTACCTTTAGACGTCTTCACTGCTCGAGTTCACTGCTATAACGAGTCCTTTTTGTTTTAAAGTAGTCCGTGAGAGTCAAACCCTGGGATTTTACGCCGGGTCTCCGCCATAACAAAGCGTGTGAAACCGTGCGTTTCTTCAAAGCACACGTTCGACACGAAGTCGCCCTTAAAACAGAGGGACACCTCAGCATTTTGAGCTGCCGGACTGTGTTTGTGTGTGAACGATTAACCCAGGGGGAAATGGATCCACACGGCCCCACTCCTGCAACGTCCAACGACGGCAGCAGCGGCGGCTCCAGCCCCGCGTCCCCGTCCGGCAGCCCCGCACCGGCGGTGGGCGCAGCCATGGTGACCGGGGGCAACGTGTTCGCTAATGACGGCAGTTTCATGGAGATGTTCAAGAAGATGGAGGAGGAGAAGAAGAAGAAAAAGGAGAAGGAACAAACAGGTGGAGACACAGAGAAAGGACAGACCTCAGCATCACAAAGGAAGCCTCCTCCCGTGACCAGCTTTGTAAGGGGTTTGCCAGTTGTAAGAAGAGATAGATGAACATGCACCTCACACTGGTTAGACAGTCTGATTACAGCCGTAGGTGGTGGTACTATTATACACACACACACATGCCAGCACTAGTCTGTACTCAGTGATTTATATACAGTAGCAGTTTGTCTAGACCAGAAAACGCTGAGTCATCAAAGTGCAGGGCTGTCCCTCACTGATGATGGCTGGTGATGCGGCAAGAGACTAAGTGTAGACCATCTGCTCTGGTATAGTCTCCTTCATTGGCAGTCAACCTACAAGAACTCCTGTAACGGTTTCAGTCTTCTATCCCCTAACCCAGGTGGGGAAGCGCCGAGGCGGTGTGTTCCTTAAGACGGGCGTGGTTGTGAAGAAGCAGAAACAGGACACAGAAGTAAGTGTTGACGTAGCTGACGTGACGTGACGTGTGTGTGTGAAGCTGGAGTCCTGCGGTCTTTCACCTGTGTCTTCTGCCCCCACCTCAGGCTACCCCGGGCAAGAGCGATGCCTGGTCCAAGTACATGGCTGAGGTGAAAAAGTACAAAGCCCACCAGTGTAGTGACGACGACAAAACCAGGCCTCTGGTCAAGTGAAGTCACAGTGTTGCAAAGGGGGGAGGAAAGGACCACCCGGGGGTCAGTGCTGACCTTCTCCCACTGCCAGCTGATCTCTGACCTCTGACCTTGTTTATAAACTGACTTGTTTTTCTATTGGTTTGTCTGTTGATTTGTTCTGGGGTTTGAACCTGTTTCCTTCTTATTCTCTCTTCCATCTTGTCGACTGTGTTTTCTTTGGGTTTTGATATTTGTTCTTCAGCCAAATCAGGTTCCATTAAATGTACACTGCCTACTTCACCCTGTGGCTCCTCTGTTCCATCAGACGTTTCAGAAATGATGCCACGAGTTAATGAGTCGGAGTCGACTGCGAAAGCATCAAATTTAATGAAGTCAGATCGAGTTTTATACAGAAAAGAATTCAGTTCAGAATTCAAGTACGATGAAAAACTGTTCATCAGGTAAAAAATGAACTTCAATGAACAGCTGATGTTTCTTACAGGTTATCAGTGAGAATTACAAGATAAAAACAGCACCAGTAGAGACACTGACCATGCATCAGAGAGGGGGACGTACAAAGACACACACACACACTTTAAAAAACCCAGCCGCTCCGTCCTGTCCACAGTGATATAGGTCGATTTTGTAAACGTTGACAAATTTGTCACTTAATTCATCAATTCTATGAGAAAAAGTATTTCAACTTTAAAAATGTTACATTTAACTGAAACCAAGTGTGGCCCAGTTTGACACGGGCCGCTGCCTCAGCGGTCTGTCCCAGGGGTCCTGGTCCTGGTCCTGGTCCTGCAGCATCATAGAGTCTTCCTCTTAGAGTCTCCTCCTTGGCTTTGACTGACATCTGAGCAACAACAGCAGAAAAGAGTTTTATTCTTCAGTGAAAAGCAGCAGTGAACGAGACACGGACTCCGTCACAAACGAGCTGCCCCAGAGATGAACAGAGACCTCTAGTGGAGCGGAGCAGACAGACAAGGACAACCAAAGACCACAGGAGACAGGAAGCAAATGGACGGAGTTCTGAGGCTGGGGCGGGGGTCAGAGTTTACCTGAGAAAGCCAGCTGCAAGTGAGGAGGCAGAGGAACCTGAGAACCTGACTGGAGACCCTTATACAGATCTGAGGAGACAAGGAGGGACGGACGCCAACCACACGGGGGGGGGGAGGAAAGGTGAGACAAACGCAGTAAGGAGCAAAATGCAGGCGATGGTGGGAAGTCGGAGGAGGAGGAAGAGGAGAGATGAAGTCAACAGTACAGTGATAAAACAAATGACCCAACAGGAGACAAAGGTCAGGACGAGGTCAGAACAGAAACATCCAAACGGTGAGGACTGACTGAAGGTCAGGGAATCGAACCTCCACTCTTTGTTCATCTCTACTTTAAACCACTGACAGCTGCACTTCAAATGTGAATACACCTGAAAAAAAAAGTTCTTTTGTCTCTGGACCCTGTGCTGGTGTTTGGAATTTGAAAATAATGACAATTTATTTTTTTTTATTTTCAAATAAAAACTTCTCAGCGTGAAATCACTGGACATTTAAAAAGAAAATCTTAACATTTCTTATATTTCTA